AATTAATTAGGCCAAAATTCCTCAAATAAAGATTATTGATAGCCACTACAATTCTGAGCGTCCTGAAATTGTTTCAACATTAACTTCACTGAAAATATTCATAAAACTGTATTTAATGCAGAGGGCTATTATTTATGGGAAAACACCAGCAACAATATCAGCTAAGAGATCCCTTTGGAAAATAAAATAATGTTTTGTATGTATTTTCCTCTTTAAATTCCTTATTCTACTAATGAGGCACTAGCATGACTCAGAATTTCTATTGTGAGGAATTGATTGAAGGAATGTCCTTTCTTCTTTCCTGTTTTGGCTAGTAAAAGTATTCTGTAAGATATCGGGTCAGCACAGTGCCATAGAGATTAAATATAATTTCAAGAAAAAGCAAAAAAAAATTATTTGTAGTATAAAATTCTTCTCACAAAATACAAAAAAAATCTTCAAGTAGAATGTTCTCAAAGAGCTGGGAAAGTGATTTTTAGTACTGACCTTATTTAAAGAAAATAATCCTTTTCTCATTTTAACTCTATTTAATCTTCATGATACAGAGATGTAACTCAGGAATATTTCCTATATTTTCCTTTCCTTGCTAACTTTTTTCCCTGATTAATTCATAAAGATGAATATTTTACTCAAATACACACAGCATTAGAATAAAAGAAAGAAGAACAACAAGTAAATAAATTAAACAAATAAAACTAAATAAACAGAGACAAAACTTTTAGATCTTTATTTTACAAAAAGAACAGAACTTAAACCACATGGTTTTCCTTTAGGTTGCATTTGCTGTGTACAAATTTTCTCAATTTATATCTATAATTTTATTAAAATCCCAGTGAGCTTCTGAGGCAGTATAGTCCTAAGGACAAAACTATGACCTCAATTGCTCCCATTTAATAAGGTTTGAATTTGCCCATGAATGTCAACATTATCTCTAAAGTTTTCATGTAACACTGTGTCAGATCTGGAATTAGTGTGATATTTGCACCTTTTTATTTATTTTTTTTCAAGTGGATTGAATTTATTGTTTAATCCAAGACTGTTGCTTAGTGGCATTTGTGTATTGTACACAAAAATTAAAACATTTTCACTAAAGTAAAATGCATAGAAGAAATAAGATAGTTGAATTGAAATTAATCTAAAAGTCAGAGAAGACTGTAAGTAGGATGGAATTGCACTGGGTAAGGATTCCTGAACATTGCAGATACTAATTATAAATCAAATTATATCCTTAGGGGTCTCTGTCTGCAAAGCTGAAGGAACATTTCTGCAACTCTTTCCCTTCTAGATCAAGTTACTGTAAGACACAAGATCTCCAGGGGTGCTGCTGCAAGTGAAAGGGAAATGTGTTTGTTTTTTTTTTTTCCAAGGGTTCCCTTCTGACTCAAATCCCTCTGGGCCAAAAATAAAACAAATTCATAAGCAATCAACTTAACCATCGGTAGTCATGAATGGGGAATACACAAGACAGATAGGGAATTGTGTTACAATAACTCCAGTTTACTAGAACTGTGCCAAAAATAAATTATTTCCTTTGTAATAAAATTCACTCTACAAAATATGTAATCACGGTGGGAGTTTTCCAGTATGATTCAGCTGTCAAATCTCAAGACTAAAAACAGGCTCCAGGCTGCTCTATTTAAAATGTCAGTTTCATAAATCTTAGCTATTAATTAAAATAAAATGTAACATTTCCTCCAAATAAAGTCAAAATATTCCATCCTAAGACTACATTTAGGGATTGTGCCATCCTGACTTTAAAAACAAAAACACAATGCAGAGACAGAGTGAATAATTTCCTTGCATGTAGTTACAGAAGAGTTTAAATAATCAAGAGTGAGAGTATGTCTTAGACATCAATGTCAGATCAGTAAATATGTGTGAACAAACTCATGGTCTCTCTTGCAGGCTGTTTCTCAACAGCCAGGATGAAAACACGCCTTTAGGTTATTAGAAGGGCAATGAAGATACATGAATTCCAACGATAAAAATCTCTAAGCATTGTGCAGTGACCTTTCATCTAGAGTTATCACTTCTTCTACCTTCATAAATCCACCAAATATGCAAGTACTTTTCATTGTGCAGAGTACATGGAATGTCAGGTCACTTGCAAGATGAGGTAAGCCACCTACCCACAGGACTCCTGGCTGATGACTCTGAATGAGAAGGCTCTGGAATGCACTTCTTGTGCAGAAGAATACTGTGCTAAGGGAAAGATCTCTTCCACAACTCTAGACTTTACTACCTGATGTCCTTTCCTGCATCATGTCTGGAAAATTATTTTCATTATTTGTTTTACTAAAAAAAAACCAACAAAACATTATTGTAGATGATTTTAAGAAATGCATAAGAACATTTGGTCAAAAAAAGGAAAGCACCCCTCAAGAGACATGTACTCTATCTGATGTATTTTTCAGAGCAGTCACTCTTTGAGAGTGTTCCACACTATTCTGCACTGTGTATATGATTTGATTAAAACCACATACAAACTAATGAGATGCAGCTCTTTACTACTGGCATAGTGCCATACACCACCTGTCTCTTTTGTCATGTCTCATATGTTGTCTTTGAGCTCACTATAAACTTAGCAAATTTATTTCTCTAGATAAAAAAGCATGTTCCTTCAAATACCTGTAAATCGTGAATGTAACATACATGAGGCTGAGTGACAGTAAACATAGCAGGAAATTTGAATTTATTTGAACTCATATTACACCCAAGATATTTAGATTGTGTAATATATCTTACTGTGTGATATATCTTACTGTGATGGTCAAAAAGCACCCACATTTTTTCTGAAAAATAGAAAGGTCATTATCTTAACTTAGTTACAGCCCTGTGGGACTTCTCCAAAATGCTTATATTATTATATAGCAAGACTTAAATGGTATTAAGATCTCCTGATAAGTCAAGCAATCAAAATATTGGTGATGAGGTGAAGATGTGACAGCACTGTACGGTACTTATTTCTTCTTGTATAATTCATAATTCCTGCTACAATCTATGAAGCACAGATTCATAGAAGCTGAGTTGAAGAGTTTAGGTCCATGCTTAGTTAAAATTGTATTTTTTCATTTGTGAGGAGTGTTGGTTTCCTTTCTCTTTATATGCACCTTTCAACTCTGAAACGACCTCCTACCTGATATCTGTAGAAGAGAGAGATTGGTCACTTTTTAAGGCAGCAGCACCATGTACGTCTCTTGTTCCTAGATTTTCACTAATTGTTCCTAGATTTTCTTGTTCCTAGATTTTTCACTACTTTTTGAAATTTAATATTGTTAATAATATCCTCTTTTTTATTTTCTTGCTTTCAGAATCTGTGTGAATATGGGGGAAGAGCAAAGGGTAGGAGTGTGGGGCTTGTAAAGTTAACTCTTTAATTATGTCAGTTATTAAATGTCAGCTTCTCATATCTCAACCATTTGAAGATTTCCATTGACATTTGTCTAAGTAACAGCAATAACAGAAAATATGAATAATTTCTGTAATACAGAAGCAACATTTTCTAAGTTAGCCTGTTCTTATAGGATTTAGTTTGCATGCAAAACAGGTATAGTAAATAGACCCATTCTGACAATATAGGTGACCAGAAACTGAAGATAGACTTTAGGAATCTGATTTTAGCCTAGGTAGCCCTTTCATTTTGAAGAGAACTAAGATAAAGAACTAGGACAAATATTAGATTAATGAATCTATCACTACTACATAAGTGCAGACTCCTTGCACATATTAAATTATAGATGAAGACAGGGTGAGGTGAAAGAAAATAGTATGTGTTTAATAAATTGCACACACAAGGATAAGTATACATGAACATATATGCACATATGTACAGACTTTTATAATGTTTCCTTCCTCAAATATATATGCAAGCATGTTTCTTTTTCTTTAGATTTAAAAAATCATTAGTCTTCCAAAATTGCCTTTGAAACCTCTCTATATGAAGACTATCTGACTTTAGAATGTTATACACTACAGTTATATACTATTATATTTTAACTGACCTTTGGAATCAATGACATGACTAGTCATAAAGCAATAAAACCAGATCTGGGCTTCACAAAAATCTTGAGCTGAGCAGACTGTGTCACAGAATCACTGAATGGTTAATGTTGGAAGGGATTTCTGGTGGGCTAATCGCACCCCTGCTCAAGAAGGATCTTCCTAATGCAGACCATGCATGATGGTCCTTGAATATCTCCATTGAAGGAGTTTCCACAGCCTCTCTGCGTGACCTGTTACAGTTCACAGTCACACACAGAGTACAAAAGTTCTTCCTTGTGTTCATGTAGAGCCCTCTTGTGCATCAGTTTCTGCCTGTTGCCTCTTGTCCTATTACTTGGCACCACTGAGCAGAGCCTGGCCCATCCTCTCAACATCCCCCCTTGAGGCCTGAACTCTCTCTGCCTTTCCTCCTAAGCGAGATGCTCTAGTCCCCTCATCATCTTGGTTGCCCTTCACTGGGCAGCTGTCCTTCACTGGACCTACTCCAGGAACTCCATGTTTCTGTCTTGGGAGTACAAAACTGGACACAATATTCCAGATCCAGCCTCACTAGACTTCCTTTTTGTTGCTGCCAAAAAGAAATGTAGGTTAGCTGGAATTTTGAGCATTAATCTTGCTTCCTGTCACTTACCTTCAGATTTTAATGAAGCTAATGATCTGAAAATATACTCAGTACTTCACAGGAATTGTTAGGCAGCTCATGGGAATGTCTTCTTTGTTAATTATATTTTCTTTGATCTTCTGCATTTAAAATTCAGCCCCCCCCCCCCCCCCACCAAACTTGTAGATATTTATGTATGAGAATAGTTTCTCACATGTACACAGCATAACTAAACTTAGTGGAACTATTCAGGTATCAGAGAGTTTGAGTATTGGAATCATTGACCAGTAGAAACCAAAGAAAATTGTATCCTAATAGTTTGACTAATATCACAATTTCTTACAATGTTGTCACGTTAAATTAAAATTAGAAGAGTATATTGAATACAGAGAAAAAATTCTGGTAATATAAATGTAAATTTTATTTGCATTACTGAATTAGAACCCTCCCTTCCCCATTTCAGATGAGCATTTTCTTTTAAGACTGGCTGATAAGAATAGCTGGTCTTAAGGAAGAACAGTCTTTCAGAAGGAAGGCTTGAGGGAAGAACAGAGTGGGGAAGAATGAGGCAGCCAGAGCCCAAAGCGCTTGACTAAATTGATCTGTGTCTCTTAAGGAAGCTATTTTCTCTTTTAAAGCTTTCAAGTTTTAATTGTTAACTTATGGGATATAGTAAGAAATCATAAAGAAAAAAAAGAAGAAAATCATAGAATCATCATAACTGAAGTGCATTTATTTTGAAAAAAGATTCCTATTACCAATTTCTTCTAAGATTTAAGGGAGCTGCAATATTCTGACAAAACTATAATTAATAATTACTGTGTAAGTTGAGGAATAAGAATGCTACTGTTAGGAGATGCTTTAAAAATTACTTTTAATACACAACCTATGATCATTGATGGGGTTAATATATGATGGATATTTTCAAGATGTCAAATGAGATGCTTCAGTCTTTAAAGTCTACTCCAGGTCTCTGTGAGACCAAAGATACGTATGCAGAATTTAGTTGTCTGCTTCTCCAAGCAACCATCCTGTGTACTTTAATGGACTCCTGTTATTGACTGAGAAAATGGTTTGTACACATAAAATATTTGAAAACATGTTTAATCAGGAGTCAGCTCACAGATTTCCAGAGAAGAAAAGATCTCATGGCAAAATCCAGAACAGCAGTAAGGATGATAAGTGTTAAAAAGCATTACTCTGGGGCACTGGATATCCTAGATTGCAGTCTAAAAATCTCTGCAAATCTTTTTTTGGCTGGAGAAAGATAGGTGCTTTAAAGTCAGCTCCAAACCAGCATAAAAAACAGTGACCCAGAGAAATTTGTCCCTGTCAGAGAAGGCCACCTCTTGAGGGGGACAAAGTGGTGAGAATGCGGTTGTCCTACACCTTGCCATGCACATCAGCCTTCTGACTCCTGACTCCAGGAGACAAGCCCAGGTATTCACTGTCCACAGAGCAGGAAGATAATTCTGAAGACAGATTCAAGACTTTTTCTTCCAAAAAAGTGAGAAACTACTTCTTTTCTTTTGGAGTATCACTACGTACAGGTCTCCTTTTCCTTCAAAATATTAAACAGTCTACACTGAATATAGAACACCAATATTTTTTCCTTCTGTTAAAGACATCACGAATCATTTAAAATTATCATATTGCAGAATTACATCTGGGGTACATTTGCAATTATAAGGGTAAAAGAGATGGTACATATGTGTTCTTGTACCTTCTCTTAAAATTTATGTTTCAGCACAAAGAATGCAAATGAAGAGATACGAAGAGAGACTAACATGAAAATATGTCATCCAGAGAGTATAGCAGTATACAAACTAATTCAAAGGTTAGTTTGTCATGGTTTTTTATCTAGTATTTGCTTTATTTAGCCCTTCCAGATAGTCCTTGGTCATTTCAGCTAAATTTAATATGTTATTAATAACACGTAATTTAATAAAAGCTAATTATATTCACATTGATGAAAAATCATTGATGAAAAAAACCTCTGTAAAATATAATTTTTATCTTATATTTATAGAGCATATACATTCTTTTAATGCCATTGCACAGAATTTTAATGCTGATACACTTGTACATGTTACAGTTAGAGAATGTAATGAGAAATTATGTATCTGAAAAAAATATAATTTTAAAACATGCAGAAAAAAACATCAAGTGAAAATAACATTTCTAAAAAAACCTAGTGAGTATTCCCTGAAGGTGTCACAGATGCAAACAAATGGTCTTATTATCTGTTTCTTATTTCAGGTATTGCAAAATGCACAGTAATATTAAAATTTTGAAACTATTTTTGCAAATGTATCAGACGAATTTAAGTTCTTTCTTTAGCCATATTTGGCTCTTCTTCAAAAAATTTTGGTTTTGATTAAACTGGACTTCACCCATGGTCTTCCCAATATAGACCATAGTTCATGGTCAGATTCTGAGGTGGGTCTCAGCTTAACAGTGTATTCTTAACAGTCAAAATTGAAGACTAGACAATAATTCAGAGTACCATTCTGTCAGCTCATCTGTCAAGTTTTTGGGATTTTTTTTACCCTTCAAGAAAATCAAGCCTCTCAAGAGAGCTAGGCTGTACAAAACCTAGATTTTATCCAGACACAGTGATGAGATTGACCTGGAGCATAAACTTGGACCAAGTATCTGAGTAGCACTGTAAAGTTTAAACAGAGCCTGCGGGAGTCCATAAATGGCTGTGTACGCTTTATTGAGGTCAGTGAACACTGAAGGGAGGGCTAAAATGGGGTGATTGTGTCTGGGTAGCAAAAACAAATTTCCTGGGAGACACTTCACATATTCTAATTTAGCAACTACTTGGTCATTCAGAATGAAGTGGGTACTTAGACAGAGAAAATAGACCCATGAAAGCTATTAACTGATTACCTTAATACATGCAGATACAAAACTAGCTGTAATAATACATTCTTGGTGACTAGATGTGGGTGGAATAACCCACAACACACTTTCTCTGTCTTTTTGTGCTATGCCTCAAGTCACATATTTTATATAACTCCAGTACTAAGCCAAGGGTTCCTAGTCAGGAAATGTCAGTTGATGCAACAAGTGCACGTCTTTACCTCTCACCACTATGACTAAAAGAGTGTGTTTCCAGTAGCCCAGCTTAGAACAGAAAGTTTACAAAATAATAGAAAGTCTCCAGTTCTCTGTAAAGAGCTTTATACCTAGGCAACAGGTTTTAATGTAATGTGGCATGTTTTGGAGCAAGGTAGTAACAGACACAAGTCATCTTTCTGACTCTCTTGGTTTCCATTAAATATTGTAGATGTAGGTGTGGTTGTCTAGCAAGTCAGTAGCTGTTTGGGATTGGAGGTAAAAAGTCAATCTTACAAGGCAGTGTGAGAAATAAATTGCAACATCTCAGCTCCTCTAGAATAAATCCTTCATCAACTCCTGGCAATGTTTTAAGATTTAATTAATCTATAAAATAATTGTTTGTCAATAGGTCAGTTTTTAGATAATTTTCTTGACATTCACAGGGCAACTTGAACTCACAATTCAGTTTTCTAGCCTGGGGCAACACCTGGGGCTATCTTTATGTTACTACAACTTTAAATAAAATAAGAGGGAATTTATTTAATATTTGATGATGCAAACTATTTAGAATGTTCCAGAAGGGTATTTCAGGAAAAAAAAAATAAATCTCTTTACTGTGAGCCAAACACAGAATTTAAATGGTCGGAATTGATTAGAGGAGTCAGTCATGAGTGCTAACATGGATTTGTCCTCATTCCAACCAGGACAGGGTTAGCTTCTGCAGCAGGCAGGAAGAGCATGTCCAGGATGCAGGGGTTTTTCTGTAGCACCACACCTCACACATGGGGGTGGCTGTAATATTGCTGCTGCTCTTAAATTTTCTGATTTCCTTGCTGCTTCCAGCAAATTGTTCTTATCTTCATTTCTGGTTTTTACCTTTTCTGCTCCCAATTCTCCTCTCTATCCTGACATAGGGGTAGTTGGGTGGAGAGTGGGTGAATGGCATGAGGTCTGGAGTGTTTTCAGTGGTAACACTAAATTAGAGAATACCATTCCTAAACTATGACAACATGTTCCTTTATCTTGCCACTGACCTCACAATGCTACTGATCTGGCCCCCCCTGCTTGAGGTGTGGAAAATGTCAAAGTAACATCATGGTAACCAAAGTAAATGACAGTATTTCTCAACCTTGCTCAAAAAAGATGCTCAGAAGAAGATATTTTGCATATTCATCGTAGCCACAGTGCTTTTTGTATCTCACGTGCAATAGTCTACAGGATAAAAAGCTCTATGGCTTTTGCACTTGGTCTACTTCCTGATTATTCCCACTGATTTTCTCTCTGCAGCTACATGCAAGATGGTTCCTCCCTGTTGACACTTGTTCACACGGTGCCCCTGTGGCCTAGATCACTGCAATCATTGTCTTTCTTATATTCTATTTTGCATTGTGCACATTAACCCAGTGACATACTCTTTTCAGAATATCATGTATTAAAGTCCCAATCATTTTGCAATAGGAATGTTGACAGTTCTGATTTGCCATAGTTACACAGTGAGTAGAATACAGAACTTGAAGGGGGAGGGTCCTGTGTAAGTAAATTTTGTGTAATTAAAACAGTTAATCATAACAATTGAATGGAGAAGTGAGAGCCCACTTGGTCTACTGTATTCAGTTCTGGGTTTCTCAGTGCAAGGAGGATATGCAGCTACTAGAGAGAGCCCAGTGAAGGACCACTATGGTGTTAAAGGGGTGGGAATATTTCCCATGTAAAGAAAAACTGAAGGAAACACTTTTTCACTGTGGGATACCAGAACACTGGCACAAGTTAGTCAAAGTTGTGGAATCTCCATCCCTGGGTGTACTCAAAAGCTCTCTGGACAAGGTCCTTCAATTTATTCCAGGTGATCCTCTTTAAGCAGCAGGTAGTAGGAAAAGATGATTTCCAGAGGGACTCTTACAGCTTCAACCATTCTGTGGTTCTGTGATTCTGAAAAAAGAAAAGAACTGTATTTTGACTACACAACATTTCTCAAATGATATTTAGGAAATAATCCAATCAAAAAGGAAATACATAGGAATGTGTTTAAATTAACTACTGAAAACCTGAAAAGTGAATCAAAATTTGAATAGTATATTGACTACCAAGCAGGTTAGAAAGGCAGCAGAATGAATATATCTTGAGGCTGTCCCTCTTTACGCACCCACATCTGAGCCTGTGCAGAAATTCCCTGAGTCTGCTTTGTGGCAGAGCGAAAGAGTAATTGACATTCTAGTTAACATAGGCTGAAAAATGACCTTGATTTGTCACTTTGTCCCTGGCTTAGCAGGGTACCAGGGTTAAAGAAGGTCACTTGATAAAAACCTGCAAATATTTTACCCTAACAAACACCAATAAAATTACTGCAATACGTTAATTGTCATATTGTTTACTAGTTAATTAATTGAGGGAATTCATAGTCCAATGTTAAAAGAATTAGGTCTTCTTTTTTAACACATTTTTGGCTTTTTTTAAACAAATGTAACATTATATATTTTCAAATATCTATTTCGGACAAAAAAAGACATAGTAGTAATGGCAAAATGCCTAGTTTTCTGTTGCTGTGGTGTGACAGACTGATGTTTCTCTGTCAGTGTTATTTATATCTAAAAAAAGGAGTAGGTTTTGAGTAAAATGGAAATGAAACATAGCATCTGTTGAATGAACCTGGTTTTATTTTTGCTGTGCTTGAATTCAAGTTACTATATGTTTCCCAGACTTTAGTGTCCAGAGAACATTTTTATTTAGTATCCAGAGAACATTTAAAACATACAAATACTGAAAGAGGTAGAAACACACTGTTCATTGTGTAGGTTTTTAGTGAGACTTCACAAAACTGGGAAATCCAGTCAGAAAAGAGAATTTGAATGCTTTTAATAGTTTACAGCCACATTACAACAGAGAGTCTACAATACTGACCTTTAAATTGTGGCGATTAGAAAATCTGTGCACATTTCAGAGCACAGCAAATCTTATTTTTGTTGAATATACTCTATATTTCCTTCTAACACTGAAAAGGAAAAACCTCATTGCTTCTAACAGACTTTTTTTGGACACAAAGCTTTGCAACAAGAGTATTTCTGGAAAGCATCTTCTGCTGTGAAACTGTGTTGAAAATGCTAAACAAATTAAGAATTATACAAGAAAAAAAAACACATTAGAGCATGTTCCTATACACATAATACCTTTTTTTATGCCTTTAATGTTGAAGAAATGCTGTATTTTGTGAAGTGAGTTGCATACGGCAACCTGACTGGATTAAGGGTAAAAAAAGGAAAGTGTAGTCACAGTACACAGAGATGGTTATATGTGAACCTTGCAGAACAAAAAAACCAAAATTTTTGTAGGTTACTAGGAGGAAAACATAAGCTACCAGAGAAACAAAAGGAGACTGCATAAAATATCTAAATCTTGAGCTTTCATACAACAGATGACATAGAAAAGAATTATAGTGAGGAAATGCTTTGAAAATAAGTTTCTGGAGTTAAAGTTGAAAAATTAACAGTTTTCTATACAGCCACAGTAGTTAAAAGAAATGGCATTTAACATGATTTGATAACACTGAACAACCAGAGAAAATATTGGAATCAGTCTCCAAATCCTGGCTTTGCATTAAATCAAGCACACTGGCACGCCTCAGAGGTAAGAAGTGTAGATGGAATGGAATTGACTGGAGAAACAGAAGAGGCAGATGTTTTCTGCATTTGCTGCCTCAAGTGCATCATTAGCATAATTAATCTATATTTTTTGCACTGACCCAGTGAAGGAGTGATTCTTTGATGCACCTAGTGAATAGAGAGATTGAGTAAACTAAAGAAGGTAATTGCTAATTCAGGGACATTATAGCCTTTGTGAGTAGCAAGAAAGTGCTTTCAACTGATCATAGCTGCCTACAACTCAGGGAGAAGATAGGGATGCTATTCGAATGCTTATGGCCTGACCCATGTCTTGCAAAGCTCATAGATGGGAATGCAATGACTGCAAAAGTGGAATGGCTGCCTGATGGCAGACCCGGTGGAAAACAGTAGCTGATCAGTGTCTTTCTGTGAAAGTAAGTTTTATTGCTCCTGGGCATGAGGGAATCTCGGTTCAGCCTTTCCCTGTTTCTTCTTTCATTTTTCTTCTTTCATTGTAAAAGCAACCTCTCTAAACGACTTCAGGTGGCATTGTACATTAAAAGCCAGGGATTTTATTCTTAAATGCCAATGTCTTAGCAAACACACATGGAAGTGTGCAGTACTGAAAGTCTATTTCTTTAGTTTTGTGTCCTTAATACAGGTAAGAACTAAAAAATTCTATCTGGTGTGTAACTTCAGGAAAACTTCTATTTTATGATTTTCAAAAGCAAGAAGCAAATTACAAAACTCATATGATTCAAAATATCATTTTTCAGAAAGTTAGTTTTGATGTGTTTAGGTTGGAGTTTTTTGTTTCATTTTTGGGGTTTTTTTTTTTAGATACTTAGTTGTAGTGAACATGAAAGAAGTTGTTTTGGATTTTGATTGCAGAATACTGAAATTTACAAATAACAGTAAGAAATGGGGGGAAATAAATTCCTCAGTGCAACTGGCTATTAATTTGCCTCCTCAAACTTGGATGCTTATGTACATGGAAGGGCTGAAGATCAACATTGCCGAAGAATTAGTGAATCAAAACAAAGACATTCCTTTAAAAGTTTAATTAAGAGACAGTAGTTGAAATACATGTCTAACTTGTGAAGAACAAAGTTAGTTACTGAAGCAATGTGTAATTGGGGATTGTTATGTTTGACTGACTGATTTTGATAAATTGCAGACTAGTTTAGTGGCTTCTTCACATGTGTACATGTTTAGAGAACCAGGCTATAAAAATAAGGGAAGTTTAAGGCAAGATGAAAAGTTTGATCAGAAATTTGGGCACGAGATGTTCACTTTTATGCACATTATTTCATTTAAGCATTTAATTTAAGCATTTTTTTCCTCAATTGCATCTTTCTCTTTTACTGGTATGATAGAAAATTCATTTAACGTGGGTTAATATGAAAATATATTTTAGAAAAATTATGATTTTGATCTGGCACAAGCATAGGCTAGAATATGAAAAAATAATGTTAATGGATATTGTGCTGAAGAATGAAAATAATAAATGCTCTGTTAGTACATATCTGTATCACCTTCCAAGTCCAAGAGCAATTACTGATCTTTCTTTAAGTCTTCAGAATGACTCTTCATCATTCTGATTCTTCATCATTATTATTCTTCCTTATTCTGATGACTTAAAGAAGGATCAGCAATTGCTCTTGGACTTGCGAGGTGACACAGACATATACTAACAGAGCATTTATTATTTCAATCATATAAATCACTTTGTCCCCCCAGATCTCTTCTTTCATTCCTAGTATCTCATATCCCATTAAAAATTTTTCACCTTCTCATAGAAAAAAACATATACTATTAATAAATGCATGTAATTTCTTACTCTATTTTAAAGGATTACATTTCCCAAGCAAGCGATAATATTTTAGTAGTTGCACTGTGGTACGAATAGCTGTCAAACACATTGTAGTTCCTGCAACTGTTTTACATTGCAAAAAAAATTATGTGCATGTTAATTATATCGTTAAAAGGCAGTGTAGAGCTTTCAGCCTAGGAATACTGCAGTTATACGCCCACAGCATTGTGACATAATTGATCAAAACAATGCTTAGGGTCCTCTCATTATACATTCATTTGGCATTCATTAGAGTATCACTGATCATAATGATTTCATTTGGTATTCAGAAGTGCCATATGTTTCGCCATAGGTATTGATGGACACTTAAAATAGATTGCTTCTTCCCTCTATTGAACTCTCTGATGACATGCTGATGCAAAATGCATTGGCAGTGACAGAGTCCCTCCCTATCTACCTGGCAACAGAAGGGCAGCTCTGCTGTAACATCTGAATTAGCAATACAATAAATTTTCCAGTGTTGAATAAATGGATAGTTGTACTGTTTAAAAACAACAACAACAACAAAGAAAGAATTTTGCTTTTGTATTTAAATGATGGAGGTGTGAAAAAATTTAAAATTTTGAGACAGACACAGAAAATGCTCAATTTCCAGTCCTTCTTTTTTATTAAGAAATAATTATATGTCATATAGGTAAAATATGCTAGGAGAAGAGGATTTTGGATTAAGCAAAAACCCAAACAGAATCAGGATTTGGATCCTTAGACTGCTTTTGACTCAGCAAAAGCCTGGTATTTCTTTCCTTAATCTGCCTCAAATTACACAAGCTAAAGGACTTCTGACTGGCATGAAGTGAACTTCAGTACCTACACATACTTTCCTGCCTGCCTCCCTCCTGAGTTTATACAGGTCTAAGATAGAATCAGAAGAGCCTGATTATCGATCATAGATTAATCTATTAGAAACTTTGATTTCTCTGTCAGAATGGCTCATACTCCTGCTTGTACTGCCTTGCCAGTGCTGATGCTAGATTTCCCAGGCTAGAAAGATGAAAAACTGTTGCCCTTCTTTTCTTGTTGATTATGGTTTGAGAAAGTAGACTGAAATTATTTTTTGATTCTGATATTTTCTGGGTAAGGATGGAAAAGAACTGATTAGACTCAGTATTTTCACCCTCTGATGTTCAGCAAAGTTATCTGGGAGTGTGGAAGACTTTTCTGTACTTCCAAAATGCCCGAGGATTATGTGTCCCTAATGAGTTTCATGTAATCTTGTTTCCCTGCTCTAAAAGTAGCTGGACCAAGATAGTCATTCTTGAGGTAGATTGAACATTGAACACAATTAAACTTCTCTGGACTATAAATGCTTCAGTATGTAAAAGCTAAATTCACTTTCATTCTCATATTTTAATTTCTTAAAAATAAAACTGTACTGTGACTGTCAATGATGCAAATTAAAACACAAATCTTAGGAAGCAAATGCTTAAGTCAAAAGTGGATGGCTTTGTAAAATTAAAATATTTTTCTTAATCTTTCAATTAGCTCTTTTTTTCAATGTCATGTGACTTCAATACAGGTTCAGGTTATATTTTCTGTTTCTTAAGCCAATACCATATCTATTATCAAATACCTATTATTGTAACAGTTGTTTTTAGTTGGACATAGTAACATTTCCTTTCCTCTACCACTACAAATAAAAATAAAATGGTAGCATATAGGAAATGTGTCTTCCCTGCAGTGAAGAATTCTTGCATGTCCTGAAGGAGTCATTCTTGGATTGCAAGGTATAATTAAAATACACTTTCAAATCTAGTTGTTAGACACTGCTGAATTAATAGGAAAGAGGAAACTCCTAAATGAATCTTCACTATCTCACTAGTGTCTTGTTTCATTATTTCCCCATGGTTTCCTGAATAAACTTTCCACCTGCCTTTTCTTTTCTCCCCCAAAAGGAAATGCCACAAGTTATGCTCTTATGGCCATGTTGAAATAAATAGAGTTGCTTATTAATAAAAGCATCATTAATTGATGAGCATCATCAATTTAAATCTATTTGTTGTATATCAGTCTTTATATTTAGAAACTTCATATTCTTTCTGAAAAAGCTGTCAATCTATTAAGGGAGGATCCCTAGAACTAAACTGTGTCTTCAACCTGAGTGTTTAGTCTTCTAAGACACTTCAGTTGTTAAATAAAGTTCTGGTGCCTCTTTCTCAAAATGGGGATGATCTTGGACACTTTAGAGTAAACTAAACACCAGATAATGGTTTTAAATTTTTTTTAATATTCTCCTAATTATTAGCTTGTTCCCCAAAAGCAGATAAGAAGTTAGGTGGGAAGAGACATCAGAAGATCAATTTGTATATCATCCCACTTGGATCAGGGCCAGCTGAGATCTAGTTTTTCAAGACCTTACCTAATTGAGAATAAAATAACTAGAAATAGCTTAATGAACATATGGGATTTCATTAAGTGCATTTCTCTCCTGTAGTCATCCTAAAACAAAGCTCTTATATTTTTTAACTATATGCAAAAATACAATTGTCACACTAATGCTTTTATAGATTAATATTGTACTTGAAATAGAAAAAAGATTGAAAAAAATAACCAGCACAAATTCAAAGATACCAAATATCACTGGCAAGCACTCAGAGGCAGTCAATTTCTGACAAATAATTAAAACATTGGATGTTTGTCTTTGTGTGAAAGGAGGAAGGGAAAAAGGTGATCTTAACAACAGATTTAGCCCATGCAACAGCACAGGCTGGTGGCTGACCTGCTAGAGAGGAGCTCTGCAATGAAGGACCTGAGGGAGCTGGTGGACAACTTGTCCATAATCCAGCAACGTGACTCAGTGGTCAAGAAGGTCAGTGGTATCCTGGGGTGCATTAGGAAGAGCATTGACAGCAGGTCAAAGTCAAGGAACTCTGGAGTGCTGTATCCAGTTCTGGGCTCCTCAGTACAAGAGAGACAAGAAGCTCAGCACTGCTTTTCTATACCACTGTTTTTTTATACCAGCTTGGTGCAACAATATTTTAACTGAAAAACTGAAAAACTGAAAAATAAGTTTTTCTCAGAGTTTTTTAGAGTGCTTTTAATTTCATCTTTTTTAAAATTTATTTTGCCTGGTCCAAACCCATACATTTTGAGTGATAGTTTGCCTGAAGGTATCTATTGCTGTTAAAGATAAAGGTTCTTAAAAGTAAGTCTGATGCAGAGACACCATATTGAGGTCTGCTGTTGTCTGACACCTGGGAAACAGAATGCAACATCATCTCACATATCATGGTAAATTTAGAAGAGAGTTCCCTTCTGTATGATGCTTTTTGCCCAGATCTGAAATCAATAATAATATTAGTCACTCGAGTAAATAATAATAATATTAGTGACTCAAGTAAAAAATCAGAATAGGTGAAAATTAACAGTAGAATGAGAAGCTGCTTAATGAGCTCTAAAAGAAGCAAGCTGCAGCAATTTTGCACCCTGTATCCTTTTGAATATTGCTTAAAATTTCACTTGCAGGAGAGAAAAATTCCTTATGGGATCATTGTTCCCTCCTCAGAGGCAGAGCTCCCCTGAGCTCAGAAATCCCACAAACATAATTTCTTTGAATAAGAGAGGAAGAAATAGAGAGAGTCCTAAGTATTGCATTGCCTCTTCACACTGAGGACAGAAAGAGAACATCAAGCCTGATTTGAAGAATGTAGGAAGTCTGAGGCTGAACAAGGATTTGAATTACCATCTGTGATATTTTGTCATCTCTGATATTTCAGCCAGATCATCTTAATTATACAGAGTAATTTGTTCTACTCACCCTGCTTCCATCCTCACCATATTTCATTGGGATAATGTCCTGGTTACAGTAGCCAGGAGGGGTCAGGAGGATAGGCCAGGAGGATAGGACATGGAGGTTATTCTATATAACCTCACATCATTGTCGGAGGTGGAAGGAATCTCTTACAATCAGGGTAGCATAGTGGTGGTCATGTTGGGATGGGGGCTCTGCATTGAGAATTTTGCATGTGAATCACTCTATCTCTTTTGTAGACTTCTGTTATTAATATTGTTGTTATAACTGTTAATTTTCTTATCCCAGTGTTGTTCCCAGTAAATAGTTATTATCTCAAGCCATGGCCTTTATCTTTTGTGTCTCCAATTCTCTTCATCCTACTTCAGGGATGGGATAGGGACCGAGCATAAGACAGTGTGGTTTGGAAAGTTTTAATGGGAGCCAGTATTGCCACAAAGCAAAGAAAGGCCAAAGGACATGTTAAGGTAATTCAGTTTTTAGGAATAAAATGGCAAGGTGGACATAGTCAGATTCCAGTGAATGTTGTGAGCAAAATAGTTGTCCCCACCAACTAGTAAGAAGGACATTCTTTCCTAGTCTTGCTTTCTAGGCACTGTACCTTTTGGAGGATGCGCACTCCAGATTACAGTCAGATTGCAACCATCTCTATCAAGTGACAGGGAAGAAGAACTAGCTACAGAAGAACATCTTAAGAACAGACAGGTGGATTGGGCTGCCAAAATTAAAGTGTCTCAGGTAGATATGGATTGGCAACATAAGAGTGAATTATTTCTGCCTTGGTCGGCCTGTGACACCTCAGGTCATCAGGGAAGGGCTCAGGTCAACATTACAGAAGGGCTCATCATCCAGGCGTGTTCTTACCTCAACCCACAATCTTTACCTTTTGTGCCTTCAATTGTCCTCTGCATCTCAACACAGGGAGAGAGGGGGAACAAGCAAGCAACGTGTGGTTTGAAGAGTCTCAGTGGGAGCACCAACTGTACCATTCCTTAGCTACAAAATAAACAGAACACTAAAATCAAACAGTGGCTTGTACACAAAATTATTTCTTAGCTTTCTTGAAGTCTTTCTTGAAGTTTATGTAATCCACATTAACAATAGCTAGTGGTTGACCACAGTGCCACTGCAAGGCCTACTGGAGAAAAAAGTAATGTTTCATTAACTCTGCTCATTATTTTTCCCTGTTATGACTCCAAGAACAGCTGAAGCTATGTATGACTCCATTCTGGCATAAACACAACCACTCTGTTACTTGCAATCAGTAAGTTACTCCCTTTTTCTCTGTAATACCATTAACTTGCATGCTGCAAAACATCATGAAAGTCCTGGAATTAATGTCCTGGACTGTTTTTAACTATCTAAAATTTTTTACACTCTTCCAGAAATCCTCACTTAAAGAGAGATAAGAATATAGGCAAAACAAACAAAAAACAAACAAACAAACAAAACAAACAAACAAAACCAACCAAACAAAAATAACAATTTTTTTTTTTCTGAGGTCATTGATAATCAGTCTATAATTACCCAGTAGGAAGAAACTGAGACTCTAATTGAAACTGGTTATTTCTAAATACTGACAACAGAGTTGGCACTTCAGTCTGCATGGGGAGAATATGTTTAAATTTTTATATCACTGTCCTGGGTTGTAAGATAAGCTTGTATTCCATTTGCCATCTGTCGAAGGCGAACCGGTTGGACAGGTTTTTTGTTATCTCTCTCAGAGACAATGGTTTGTGTATACACCTTTGACTGATTCAATGAAAGGCTGAAAAAATGTAACACCGGGAGGGGTCCCACCCAGAGGGGGGAAGCAGCTCTCCCTCTTCTTCGCGGGACTCCGAGAGAAGCAGCTCTCTCTCTCTCTTCGCGGGATTCCCGGGGAAAGCAGCTCTCTCTCGCTCTCTCTTCAGCGGCACTCGCAGCGAAGCAGCCGGCGCGCAGAGGCGACGGCAGCGGAGCTCAGAGGCAATCCCGGCGCAGAAGAAGACCGGCCCCCACTGCCACCAGATCTTCAGAGGAAAATTATACCCTTCTAAAGATCACCACTTCAGCTGCAACTCACCAACTATTGCAAGGGAAAGCAATTGTCCCAGCAAAACCTGATACTGGCATTCCTCAGGTTCTAGACTTTTTCTTTCACTAGTTTTGTTTGTACCGATTGCATTTACCTTTTTAAATTGTTGTCTAGTTTTCTCCTAGTAAAGAATTGTTACTCCCACTCCCATATCTTTGCCTGAGAGCCTTTTAATTTAAAGATCCTCGTAATTCAGAGGGAGGGGGGTTTGCCGTTCTCCATTGCACAGGAGGCTTTGCCCTCTTTCACAGACTCCTGTCTTGTCTAACCAAGACAATCACTTAGAATACAGTAAGATTTAGCTCTCATCTTTCTGAATGGCAAAATGCATATTTGTCCTCTGAGAGGACAGAGGCTGTTTATTGTGGTTACACTTTACCTTCTTCACTGTTTCTGGAAAACCCACTCAGTATTATATACAAAAAAATTTCATATGTAAATACAGCCATTCACAGCACTGCCTCCTGTCCACACTATGTCTGAAACATCCACTGAAAGAATGGCAATGATAATTTATCCGCATGGTCAAAACCTGCTAGCCTCCAGAGCTAATGTGATGCTTGGCTATCAGACCATATATTAATAAAAATCAGTATTTTGTGCATTCCATAAGAAATATTGGTGCATATGACCAATGTCTGACATTATTTATGCTGGAGTTCAATGATTTTAATAATTATTATCATATGAGCACAAAAATCCATTCTCTGTGGTCTAAACAAGAGCTACATATCAGTTGAAGGTTTTCTACTCCAAGGATGTGATCAAACACTCATTTGCTCTGTTTCTATCTCAAACCTTTATCAGAAATATATTTATGAATAATTTTTTGTTGATTTTTTTGTTGGTTTGTTAGGTTGTTTGGGCTTTTTGTTTTAATATTTGGGTCAATGAAAACACTTTGCTTTAGCTAAACACTGGTTAAGGGTTTGAAGCCTGATCAATCATCTACAGATGAAGAGTTCTTTCTACAAATATCGAACTGGATGTATCTTATGAGCAGTCGAAGTATAGATGCTTCCCTAATAACGAAATCCAGCTCTGTGGAACTGAGATACTACCTCCACTGAGTACTAATTTGATGGAATTCCTTGTAACAGGTGATCAAATCTATATCCTTCCTCACCTATCTTTCTAAACTTGTAACTAAGTGAACCACTACAGACCGAACAGGAAAGGTAAGAATCGTAAAGCTGCTACAAGGTCAAGGTTCAAGTAAGGAGCAGCTTGTTCACAGCATTCTCAAAGGAAAAGAAGTCACTAAGAAATTAATTGGGAATTAGAGACACATGGAATTTATACCTCTATTTGTCAAAGACACTAAAAACTGCACCAGTAATATTGATGTTGTAGGTGACTATAAAAGAACAGAGTGTAGCAGTCACTCTGGCATTTCAGTCCTTTGATGGAATTTTATCTCTGAAAATGACTTGTCTCTGTGGCCTCCAGTTGCCAGAAAGTGGTTGAGAGAATAAATATCAGTGTCATCCTTTCAGTCATTAATTAGAACCAGATTTTGTTTCCTTCAGTTTTGATATAATGGTTGGATCCACATGTACCGCAGATGTACTCACACTCCAGTCTGTTCTGGGAATAGATATAGGAGCAAACCAACCTACAATACAAAAAGCCTGTCTAGTGCTTCCTAAGTTGCAGGCATTATTTTCAGATAGACAGAAATTCTTTTTTTAATTGTGCCACACACAGGACATGCATGCCACATACCTTTATAAATGCTGAATTTGGTGCAGTGTTATGGTTTGACACTGGCACAATGCCAGTGCCCCCATGAAAATGTGATTTCTACTTTGAATGCTGTGAAGTGGAATTTAGAATAGAGCAAAGCAGGCTCAAGCTTGATAACAGGAAAAAAACTTTATTAAACTACTACTACAAAAGAAAAGAGAAAACTAAAGAAGGGAAAAAAAACTCACAAAGATCTAAATGAAAACCTTGCAAAACATTCCTCCCCCCACCACCCAACTCTAACAAACCACAGTGAGACACAATCTGGACTTCAATCAGGTTTCCACCCTTTAAGCAACCGATACTCAGTTCATTGAGGGAACAGAGTCTTTCTTGTGCCACAGACCCCCCAAGAAACACAGCTTCACATCCTGTGTTTCCATGTCACACATGGCACCGCCGGAGAAAAAGTTTGCCATGGTGACCCTTCTTGTTTCTATGTACAGTGCTCTCACCATTAATGCATGGATGGTCACTGCCTTTAGGATTTTTCCTTTCAAGGATGCCCTGGCAAGAGGGGAGAAAACAACAGTTCAGTTTTTCATTGTTTGGGACTACAGTCCCCCCCATTTTCCCCTGGGGCCGAGGGCTCAAGAACAGAGATCTTCTTCTCTTCTCATTCCTTTCCAGGGCAAGGGGGCGCCACCACAAACTCCCCAACCTTTTCTCTGTTTACTCTATTTTTGTCTTTTTCCCAGCTGAAGCAGGTCTCTTGACTCACTGGCATCTTCTCAAAACACAGTCCCTCTTGAAGGAGAAGATTGGTTCAGGTTGTGGCTAACACGGAAAAGTCCAGCCAAAAGCCACTCCTTGTCCCCCTCCCATCCAGAATTTCTCTTTTTAACATCCCATCCCAGGGTCCAAGGTGTCTCTTTTCCTTTCTTTTAAACCGAGGAGGGGAAAGGAAAATTCACAAAGTTTTTATTTCTCAAGGAAGGGTTAAAAGTCCGAACTCCCAGGATGGCTCGATGCCCGGACATCCAGCAACCCCCACACACTGGGCACCTTGCAGCTCCCCCCGCTCCTCCTTCCTTGCGGCTTTCTCTCTCCCTCTCGGGAGAGGAACTCTGGGGGGGGAAATGGAGACATCCCAGATTTCTTCCACCCTTCCATCTGCAGGGGTTAGTTTGGTTTCAGTCCTTTCACCACCCTTGGGGCTTTCGGCCTACCTTTCTCAGGCCATGGGCTTCCCCTCCCCCACCCAGCTCGTGGCTGGGCGGGGGAAGGTCTGCACTGCACGCAGACCGGAACCAAAGAGAGCGAGTTCCCCTGGGAATTCTGCTTTCAACCCCTCTGTGTTCTCAGAGGCGTGTCTACTTTCAATTGGTCAATATCTAAATTGACCTCTTCCTTCCGGGGAAAAATTATCTTTCCGTGTCAAACCACGACATGCAGGAATAGAGAGCATATATGTAATCTCTTCATTGAAACTTGCAATTTTTAACACTGACTAGGACTTAGAGTACACAGAATATAATGCTTTTTTCTCCATCTTCTGTGGACTTATATCCTAATATGTTTTGTCTCATGCTTTTGACATGTATTTACAGTCTGAAGTGAGTGGCTGAAGGATTATCTGCCATGTTAGCATTCTTTTGCAGCTGTGACATTTTAAATCACTGCAGGGCTGGTCAAACAGATGAAGATAAGAGCCTGTGCAAACACATATGCATGTGCAATGGGAAATGCTCTTTTTAGTGTGTGAGACATCAGAGAGAATGGGATACTTGTGTCATAGGTAACTATTCCACCACTGATTCATGTGAGATCTGTGAAACACCCACATGAAACACCAATCTGGTTTTCTTCTAGCATATGACTAATTAAAATATTTATGTTTACTTTCGTTATTTAAAAAATTACAATATTCATATTAATTAACTGTTATGTAGTTAATACCAAGATTTTTTTTCCAGCAAAATTTCTTTACTACTCAGTAATAAATTTTAATAAGGGTTTACAACAATCTATGGCTTAAAAAGAAGGAAATTACTTGTGCAAAAACCATAAAAAATCCCTTTTGCTTGCATTTTAAAATCCAGAACTGACTATACACAACTTTCCCAAAGTAATTATTCACTCAGAGGCTTTTGTCCCCTAAATAGGAATTGCATTAGCAAACTCAGACCTTCTCTAGCAACAGTGGGCACTTTAGGATTTTCTTTTAAACCTGCATGCTATCTTCTTCTAAGAATTTCTTTAAAGAGTGCGCAGTAACAAGTATTCAACTCTATTTAGTGTATAGAAGACAAATTCCTTTTTGGCATGTATGTATGTGTATGAATGTAAGTGCAATCTGTAAGTGTCAGATTCCAAGTTCTAAAACAGATAAAAGATTCTAGATCTCTTGCTGGACTAGAGATCTAGCCCACAGATCACACTGGCCCATAGGAACAGGAAGCTTTTCCCACACGATATGTGCAAATACAGCTTTGTTCAGCAGGTTTGTTGTACACCCAAAAAACACAATCCATGTCTTCTTCAGCTGGATTGAGACAACATTTACCTGTAGCGAGGTGGTGAGGAGAGAGAAACTAAAGTTGCGAGTATATTCCAAACTCAGATGATTGTCTTCAGAATAGCTGATGAATTGAGACTGAGGAATATGCAAAGATATTTTTAGGAAAGAATATTACCAAACTATTGTTCACAAGTGATATTCCTTATATCAGCAACATTAGTGGAGGACTGTATGATGTGGTCTGCTCCACAGACAGGAATAAAATAAGACTGTCAGACATTTACACAAAGGGTGCTTCTTAGACATGATGAGTCCAAAAAGTCCATCTGTTCCTACATTTCAAACAACTGCAACTGTCCGAAGTGTTTGGAAGTGCACCACAGAAAAATACTGTGGTTCAAAGACAGCAATAGTGGTTCTAATTGTGCCTAAGAAATAAGGTAAAAAATTGGTGTATAGTATTTCTGCCTTCAAAAGATAGATGTATTTTTTTTTTTTTGTGCATAAACTAAGGATACAATTCATTTCCCAAGACAGAGATCCAAGAAACAAAGCAAAATTAAGGGAAGCAGACTTATAAGAAAGTTTCAAACCACAGATAGAACAAGAAATGTGTCTCCCATTCTGTAAAATGTGCAGGCTTTGGAGAGAAAAGACAGACCAACAAATATATGCTTGCTTTAACCCTAGAGGTTAAAGAACACTACAGTAAGAACTTTACAGTGTTATGTTTTTGGTTTGGGATTGTTTTTTATTTGCTCATTTGATTGGGCAATTTAGCAATACAAAATGTATAGGGTTTACTAGCATTGCATACTAATGCTCAGGGAGTTTCTTATTTCAAATTGGTATGGTTTAATGGAACTCCACTTCTCCATCTAGACATACTCAGTTCCATCTTTAATGCATGCTGTTGCATAAAAGAGGAATAATATCCTAACAGAAGACGTTTTGGACATGGTGTGGAAGAGAGTCTTACTCCAATTGGGTGGAGTAGATAACTGACCTGATGTTCTGACCACAGTTCCCAAAGAAACCTTGGAACTGTTCTATGGACAAGAGGAGGTGGTTGCTGTGTTTGATTAGAATTTCTACTGCTTACTTAATAATCTTATCATTACAAATACCACATCACTACAAATTATGATTCTAGGACAACATATTTTTCTGATCAAGCTACATTGCAAACAGAATTCTAACTTCATGCAAGATAAATTGTATTGCTGAAAGCTCAAAACAATTATTCAGTGAAACTGAAAGCTTGCTCAAAATAATGCATTTTGCTTAAATGTAATATTGGTAAATTAAATCAAACAAGAGACAAATTTAGGAGAATTAAAAAGGAGATTCCTCACATGTTCGCAATCATCATGCATTATTTCTTCTTTTGACTGTTTTTTTGGTTTTAGAACATTCCATATTTTTTCCATCACATTTGTCATTAATATATTTTTTAAACTATATATAAGAGTTTTTAATAAATAGAATTTTATATTTGCAGTCTTGCAGACCTCTTCTATGTCATACATAGGTATGAGTTGACAAGAGTCAGAAGAGATTGAATGAAATCTGAAAAATATTACCAAGTCTTACTGCAGTCAAGTTAGTGTGAATTACAAAAATTTAATTAAAATCAAACTTTTCCCTTAATATTTTTAGTTCCACCATGTTGGCTCTTGTAAGCCAGTTAGTGGCACTGAGATATCCCAGCACATTGGCATATTTAAAACCAGGCTGCACTAGAAAATATGTTTATAAGAAGCAAAATTCGTGGATAGGTGACTTATTTAAGCTAATGGAACATTTGTCTTCTTCTCTCACTTTCATCTTGAATTCTGTGAATTAAAGATAGAAGTCAAATGCATTGTGTAGGATTTCATCCTCAAAAATGGCATTTGCCCTGACAATTAATCCATATTGTGTTATAATAGAGTGTAAACATAAGTGGATCTGCTTTTGTCTTACAGTCCTTCTAGGACACAGACAGAACCCACTCATTTAAATATAGTAGGAGACCACTGACATATTTGTGGATAATTTATACATGAAACTATCATCTGAAATTTCACCAAGACGGTACTGACATTTATTTCTCACTACGGACAAAAGGAGGCGCAAGCGTCTGTAGACAGGAATATTTCCTCTCACAAACATTTCATTTGAAAAACTTTCCACTCTGCAAAGTGTGGAAGATAAGACATCTATTCCTCTCATTTATATACATTATATATATATGTGTGTGTGTGTGTGTATGTATATGTATATGTATATGTATATGTATATGTATATGTATATGTATATGTATATGTATATGTATATGTATATGTATATGTATATGTATATTAAGGGAGTCTTCAGGAAAAAAATATTTTTAAAAAAGCTTGAATACTTTAGGGTCTGACTTGACAGTTCTGAGGAAACAATTATACCTCTTCAGGTATAATTGTTTATACAATTATACAGGCTGAGTTCAAAGTTTCACAGAGGGCACTATATTCACATTAAGTTTCAGAGCAACTGAAATTATCTACCTAAATGTTAGCTTATTGTTAAATTCTCTTTATAAATGCCCTCCAATGAATATGCAAATAATACAAATACCCATCTTAATGAAGGATAAACAGTCAAGTGGAGGTACAACATACTGTAAAGGAAGACAATGCAAAAAAGGCCATTCTTACATATGTAAATAAGGATCAGAGGAATCTTAATTATCATAAGAACATTTTTTATTATTTATTTTAATTTTAAAAAATAACACTAATTAGGTAAAATATGAAAGCAAGCACAATATATAACCAGCATTTAGAATTAAATAAAAATCCCAGAGAAAATTTCTGAGATCAGGAATATTTTTATTTGTGTTTTCTCTACTGTGGTAAAATGAACACTAGCAGCTGGTTGTCCTTACCAGTGGAATTACAGAAGAAAGATAAATAGCAACTTAACTCTGACAAGGTTTATTATCTGACACATAGAAGATATTAAAATTGCAAAAGAAGAATGCAAAGTCTGCTCTGAGTCACTGCTCTGTCACACTAGAGGTGACAGAGCAGTGTCTCTTTCCCCAGAGAACAAGTCTCTCCCTACACTTACCTACATTATCCTATTTATCACAAAATAATTAGATTGGAATATACATCCTGATATGATCTAGTCCAATATCTCCTGCTTTTTCAAAGTACCAAGAAAGTTATTGACAGAGGAAATGTTACATTAAAATTATGGCATAAATAATAATAATATATAATAAATAATAAATAATACAATATATATTAATAAATTATACTTTTTGTATTATATTCACTGAAAAGTCTACTCAAAGGGACAAGATATATTTGATTTCTCTTGATTTTTTGAATAAAGTGTCCATTTTACTCAGCATAAATTTCATTTTGATTATGATTTTACCTAGATAATGCCAAGATGGTTTTGTTTAAATAATAAAATATATCTTTTTTAATATTATGGATATGTAATATAATGTATTGTATTTGATTGGAGACTATATGCTTCATTTTTACTTTCTTTTATCTGTAGAAATGTGGATGAAATTTAATCTGAAATGCCAAGAGACTTCATTAGCTTTAACTCTTTATATTCTCCTTTTTCCCTTTTAATATGACCTTGGAATAATTTTAGCTCCTTCCAAAACTACATTTTGGATGTTAACTGCAGGATGTTAAACACAGACCTTACATCTAAGGCATTGAAACACAATAAATGTTTAAGTAAATATTTTTATTGGGGATTTTCCAT